CCAAGATCTACAGAATAGGAAGAAGAATTAAATGATCTTAGAGCTGATCAACTTTTATCCTGATTTACTTTATTTATGCGGCTTTTGGTACAGTTTGGCTTCTTGGTCTTAGGATGTCTGTCACATGGCGGACAGGAGCCCGGCACGAATTCTTCATGGTCGCCTTGGTTTTTGATGAAACCAATTTACGAACCATCTCCAACCTACCTTTCCTTCGGGGTGAAATTAGTCAAACCAAGTCATCAAGGGACTCTAGGAAACTTAGTTTTTATGCATATATTGTGTCCATTATTGCCAATAATTCTACTGAAAGTGTACACAAGGCTATCGTAACTTGCATTTTGTCAAATAGAGACCAGTCAAATTTTTTGAGCATCGAAACAAAAGCTTCGTCGTGAGGTTAGAGCATTTGATGATCGCTGTCCCTACGGGCCATGGTGGGCTGGTTTGCGGCACCCAAAGGGTCGATTCCACTCGTCTACTTTTGGCGTCTGTCACCAACTTCATCTCCATTAACACTATTTTGCCTGTGCATTCGCCCCGGAAATGGGTTCAAATGGTACCTTATGAACGATTTGTGGCCGTTACCTCACGAATGCCTACCCTTGGAGGCAGAGGGTTTCAGCACATTTCTTCGCCATGTAGATGGTCTGCTCCACCAAAAGCTCGAGCTGACGAAAGTTCACCTCACCGCAAGTGCCGCATCTGCCTCGTAGCACCATTTCGGTGACTTGGTCTTCCTTTTTTATTAAGATTTCGAAGACTCCGCATTGTCTGACTGTTTGAAATATGGCTGCGCTATTGTATGTGTGAATCCATTGTCCATTTGTCGATTTATCCGTTCATATTAATTTCCTTCAGCATTTCTTGTAGTACTCCTTTTATTTTAAATGTTAGATCTTTTGTTAGCAGTCGATAAGTTTTAGTGTCCCCGAGAATATTTTCCATTTTCTCTGTATGTTTCTATCTGTCTATCACCACTGTGGTACTTCCTTTGTCAGCTTATAGAACCATTTGACCATTTCTTCTCAATTATCTATATAGTTTGGTTAGATGGTCCTTATCCATCGGTTCTTGGTGAGCCAAGACTATTGGAATGCTTTGCATTTCCAGCTTTCTTTTTGATTCTTCTGTATGTTAGCTGCTTGATATGGTACCCTTGCGTAGTTTTCCATGCCAAATTCTGATTAGACGACGAGGTGCCAAACTTTGATTGGTAGGCGGGAGGATTAGTCATACTCTCACGTGCCCAAATATGTTGAGCGTGATGTAACAAAACTAAACAACGTAAGGGAAGTGTAGGGATAAGTCGCTACCACATCCCATATATTTGATCTTCTGAAGCGAAAATAAGTAACTTAGTTGATTGCTATAGTAAATACAATGGCTTCATCGGCAATCCCACCACAGGATGTGATATGGAAAAATGCTTGGCTTCCCTTGAAATTCACATCTGCCCTGTGACCAAAGGGCATTCGTGGCGATATGGCATAGGGGCTAACTTGTCGAGATTATACGTTGCATTGTCATGGTCTAAGTCCCGCGGGGATGTTGATAAGGCTTAAGCGAAGTCGAAACTCCAGTCTACATTTGCCTTTTAAGAAAGCAAAAATATGTGAACTACAATGAAAACGTCATGTTCACTCATATGTCTGTGGGAGAATTCAACAACTAGTCCCCTTATCACCCCAAACGAAATAGGATGAATACATCTACAGACCAAGCAGCGATTGCAGCCAGAATCCAAGCGACTCTCCCTCAAAGACAGTAAACATGGCTAGTCGCCATGATTACTCTTCAACCAGGTGCGACACTCTGTCATGTGTTCCAAACGTGCGTCCTCATCTGAGGTGTGCCACAGCCACGAACTCGCCCAGATCAAGTCATCACCCCCGATGCTTACATGACGTCCAGGGCGGTACGAGCTCTTCTCGACTCACGTGAGGCCTCTTCACTCTGTAGACTAGATTCGCAAGTATATTTACATCCTAGGGTAGTGGGAGTAAAGAGTAAAGAAATGCTGCAATGTGATAATTCGGGAGAACAAGGTCTCCGCTTCAGCGCTTTGTTGCTGTCTAAGCCACCTCTAGCCCCACATTTATTCGGCTCCCTACTAACCTCTATTCTGTACTTCCATTACCCAAACCCTAAAATCTCTTTTTCTCTTTCCCCGCATGTTGTCTCGTCGCATCTTTCAAACGGCCAGCTTCTATCGGAAAAAGCCAGAGTTCGCGGAAGGCGACGAATCTAGGTGAGTTGTCTATTTTGAGCGTTTATAACCAACTCATGCATTCTGCCACCAAATGCTTTAAAGAAGCGAACGAAAACGGCTTGTAAGTTGACGGCGTTTATTCTAAATATTATATTTTTCTTTTTGGCATCGAACTCGCACAGCTTCGAGCCATCCTCTTGGCAATCGAGAACATGCCCTGTAACTAGGACGGATTTTCAGCATACTAGGCATTTTTGATGTTTTTCGATTTAATGGGTCCTCTGTGGTGGGGCTATGCAAAGTTGCCTGTTGTCATAGGGCTTCCACACACGAAACTGTATCAATTTCGGATGACTGTCAACATTCCCAAAACCTTAGCCTTCGAGGTGTTGCAATCGTTTGGGAGACCTTTTTTCAGTATTTTACTGTCTCGTCTGAAGGAGATTTGATGCACAGCCAACAGGACAAACATTCTCTGAGCCTCAGCACACAAGAGCGGATACAATTCAGCGGATTAAGAGCTCCAATTAAAAGCTCGAATAAGATAAAACTACTAAGAATATCCCAGTTAAAAGAGCCACGGATAAATGCGTTTATTGTAGATACGACGAGAAACTGGGTTTCGATGAATCTCTTGAGATAACGTTGTTAGGCGGACTTTTATTTCGTATGAAAGTGAATGAAGAAGAGATTCGTTGGTCGATCTTACCGAATTGAGGACGGATGAATCTCGTTCTACTGCAGCCGTATGGCTTTTATACGATATTCATGTTTACGCAGTCCACGGGACTTCCTCCCTCGTTTCGGGTGAAAACGTGCTGAG